CGAATTTTAATAGTGACTAACAAATATGTGTGCCAGTAAATATTAAAATGTTATGTTCTTAAAAAGGAATTAACAAAAGTTATTTAAATTACTAAAAGTTAGTTGCCCCATTTACTTTTATGTTGTAAACTTCCCAACCAATTCCAAATTAATATTTAGGCTTTATAGAGTTTATAGAAAAAAAATTGGTGTTTTATGTCAATGTTTAAGGTCTAGCTTTTTGGTTAAAAAAGTTGGGGTTTCAAGGTCACAAATTGTAAAAGCGGGAATCTTAAAGGGATCCCCAAGCGCCGAGACAAGTTGTGTTCATATCAAAGATAAACATTAGATAATAAGTTAAATGTTAGTTAAACCTTCCAAAACAAACTATTGAATGAGATATTAACAAAAAACTTTTAATTTTTAACGCCATTTTGTTTCTCGCGAAGGAAAGATCCAGCTTTTTGACTATTTAATATTTTTTTAATCCGGTTTGATTAATGCGTTTTTGTATTTAATATTTGACGTCAATAAAAAAAAGTTTTTTTTAAAAAACCTAAATCGAGTTAAACATGTAGAGTATGTTTGGGATTTCCCTTTTGCGGTTAAACGAAAGTATAAGATTCAATTTTTTAATATTAATATAATAAATATATATTAGACCATTTTAAAAATGGTATTTTGAATTATAAGTATAAATTAATATAATAAAATATAAATTCAATCACAAAAATACTGTTTTATTTATGTGGTTTAGTGATAAATAGTACAAATAAATTCCAGATTGTAAAAGAAAACATATACTTTGCTGTATTTTTTAATAAAAGTAATAAGCTCGCTTCGATTAAGTACTACTTTTATTACACTAGTTTATTCTAACTTAAACACTTCACAATACGTTGAACAAAAAAAAAACATGTTACAGTGAATGTTTTTTATAACCACCGCTGATATTTTTTAAAGGGAAAACCTAATCTATTATGTAAAACTGAACTGTTTAAAAAACTCTGCGGTGAGAGAAATTATCTATTATTGAAACCAGATGTTTTTTTTAATGGAAAAAACTTGCAGATTTGAGAGCCTAAAATGAGGCTCTCAACCGGAAGTATAATGGCAAAACAGCAAATGCTTTTTTTAATATCTCATTCAATAATTTGATTTGGAAGGTTTAATTGACATTTAACTTTTTAACTTTTAATTTTTAATTGACATTTTTAACTTTTAATTGACATTTAACTTTTCCAATGTTTATCTTTGATATGAACACAACTTGTCTTGATGTGTGGGGATCCCTTTAAAAATGGGTTTCAACAAATTTTTTTTTTAGCGTAAAATCATTTTTATCCAACTGGTCAACTAATCCAGGTGGTTGGGATTTAGTTTGAAAAAAGTTTTGAAAAATGATGTACCCTAATATATATATATATATATATATATATATATATATATATATATATATATTATATATATATATATATATATATATATATATATATATATATATATATATATATATATATATATATATATATATATATATATATATATATATATATATATATATATGTATACATATATATATATATATACATATATATATATATATATATATATATATATATATATATATATATATATATATATATATATATATATATATATATATATATATATATATATATATATCCTTAACTGTGTCATAAAATAACATAAAATAACGAGGCGATTAGTATAAATAGTAGTTTAATGTAAATAATATAGTTGTATTATAAACGTCTCTAAGCGTCATATATTGACATTACAGTCCTTGTGATGAATAAAAACTGCGCGACGCATAAGCACGACGTGATTTTTGACGTTATTAAATTCTTTTTATTTGCTTATCATATTTATTGACATTAACTGCACCAATTTTCATAATTACCGCAAAACTACTTTAAATCATTAATGTAGAAATGTTATTATTTAAAAATGTTTTGGAATGTTTCGTTTTTTAAAATGTAAAAACATTGGTTTATTTTCTCGACATTTGACGCGATTTGTCTATTAAACAAATAAAAAATATTATAACTAAACATTTAAAAAAGATTATAAAACATGCTAATATTTGATTTTTTCAAATATGTAATTTAAAGTTTTTCAAATAATTATTTTTTCTTTTTAAAAAGTCAGCGATTAATAAACTGGAAATTTTAATATTGTACGATTAAAATCTGTGCAATAGCTAATATTTTTACTAGCGATTTTATATAATATTTTTTTATTTATTCATTTTTATTTATTTTCATAAAGCGGTTGATAAGCACAATCACTCGTATTACTAAAAAACTTTAATGAACGTTTTAAATAGATTTTTAATGTTTACAAATTTTATTTTTGGTAAAATAAAATAAAATGTTAGAATAAAAATCTTATAGATATAAAAGACATTTCAGCGAAAAAATTATTATTAAAAATTATTTGAAAAACTATTGACTTCTATTTTTCAGCAGCTGTTCTTGAGCACGCTTCGTTGAGTTTCGGTAACCTTTAACAAAAAAATGATTGTTATTATTTAAGTACTTAAATAATAACAATCACTTTTTTGTTATCAGTTTTTTTCGAGATACTTTTTACAAAAACTGCTTATCAATTTTTGTAATCACTTTTTTGTTAATCAATTTTTTTCGAGAAACGAGACTTTTTTAAAAATTTTAATAGATTTACTTTTTTATTGAATCAAGTAGAATATTTTTTAACATTAACCCTTTTATTTTTTTTTATTTGCGCTTACCAATTTTTAAAATGTTTCCTCGAAATTACTCTTAAATACTTTAAGAGTAAATTCGTCTAACAGTTAATAAATATTTTTAAATCTATAGAATAATTTGAAAACCTAACAAACCCCCGTAAAATAATTATTTAAGTTAAAAATCTAAAACTAAAAGAAAGTATTTTTGTTCAATTTTATCGACAACTTTGCTATTGCTGAATAATTTTATTAAAATGTTAGCTTAAAAAAATTTAAACTTTTTTTTTAATCTGAATTTTTTCTACTTGTAAATAATGAGCATATTTAATTTTTTTATAATTCAAACTTTTATATCAACTGCGTGCGGTTTTTAAAATACTTTATTAAATGTTAAATTAATCGTAAATTACTTCATTAAAATTCCGCTCATAAATATCTTTAAATATACTCAAACAAAAAATTTTTTGCTCGACGCAAATAGCCCTAGCTACACGCAAAACCGCTCTTGGACGACGTAAAATTCACATCGCCCGACGCTTTATCGCAAGGCCTGGCATTAGAGATTTCCTTCGCTAATGAGGCAATTGGCAAATTTTGTATATAGATCATTATAAAGTTAGAAAATACCTATAATATCTCTCTTGGGGAAATATATGGTATAAATAATTGTGTAGAAATTTATAAAAAAGGCATTTTTTTGAGTTTTTAACGTGCTAACCGAAATATATAATGCTGAAATAAGTCACATATTATTATTGAGTTTAATACGCCCAACGCGCTTTCACATGAACATTTTGGTAGCAGAAGCTAGTTTGCTTGTTGAAAACTTGTTGAAACTTTGCTTGTTCACATCTTTTACTAACTGCCATAGATTTGAACTTTTCATATTCCCAAACTGCATGTTTACCATCACAAATTTTGCACGTTTTTGTTCATCGTCTTTGAGCTTTTCTCCAAAGTATGTTCTTTGTTTTTCTTTAAAGTTTTTAAAGGGTTTTTCTTGATTATACTTTGTATCATCCAAACCATATAAAGTTTCCTGGGCAACTGTATAAAACTCTGCTTCTTGAATAATTCATTCTTGCAACAATTCCACCCCAGGACATTTTTGCTTTTCAAATAACCATCACTTAGCATTATTTTTGGCAACTTCTTCATAAGTTTAATGTAGAGTGAGCCATCTGCCAAACTTTCAACAACTTTTGAAGCTTCTCCTAATAAGTACTGGCGTAGTTGAAAGAGTTTATATTCCGGTGAAGCTGGAGCCCTATCAATAAATGCTTTGAACGCTGCCTTCCAATTTTTGTATTGCGTTTTATCTCCAGAATAGACAGGAATTAACATTCTAAATAAGTGCCGCCATAAGTTTTGTCCAATTTCTCTTTTCGTACTTAAGTCGTTATTTGTCGGTTGAAAGTCAATACCTTTTTCACAGTATTCCGTTATTTTAGATGGTTCACCTTGCCAACCAGTTACAACAGGGTGTGTTTGATAATCCTTTTTTACGTCAACAATTTCAGCATGCCATTTAACTTGTGCATCCAGTTGGTCATTTTTCAACTCATTCCATTCTGTTTGCCCATTTTTCAACTCATTCCATTTTGTTTCAAATGTTTTACATATCCATCATCCATCAATCCATTATCCATTAATCCACAACACAATGATCCCATTTCCATTTTTCCCATACCATGTTGTTTATTACCAACTTCATCGATGCTATTTTTGTTTTTCATTTTTTGACCAATTCTTTCAAGTTGACTTTCAGGAGTATATTCAAGTATAGATGTTTTTTTACTAATTTATTACTTCTCTGTGTTTTAAAAAAATTTAACACTCTTTTTGTAAAATACACTTGCATTTTTGACATTTGATGAATTGCATTAGTAATGTATTGGTTGCGTGCTTGCCTCATAAGCGAGAAGCTATGTGCTTGATTCCCACTATGTCCCTGGTGTGGTGCTTTAATATTTCCCCATTTATTGGCCTTATTTTTCAACATTTATGTTTCAGAGTTACACAGTTAAGAGAGGGTTGTAAACACAATTAAAAAAGTCTTTTTGACTGTAGTGACCTTCATGGTCTTGTGGAGGTGAATTAACATAAAAAAAAAAAATAGATTTAAAGAATTTTCAGAAATGAAAGTAATTTTGTGGAACTAATGATAATGCAATCCATTGCATCTTTTTTTTTTTACTTCTGAAAAATTCACTATTCTTATTTCATATTTTATTATTTTTTGACTACAATATTATATTTATCAATTAGCATTTTAACTAATGATTTTTAGCTATCAATTGATATTGGCCATGAAGTAAAATATCAAAACAAAATGCTTAATGAAATGGTATGTTTTTTTAGTAATAAATTATTATAGTTTTTTTTAGCTAAATTATTTTATGCGCAAATTATTGCTTTTTAATTTTACAAAGAGAGAGATGGTTACATTCTGATAGTTATATCAACAAATATTAATAGATTTATAGTGTTATAAAGTTTTTAATTTTCCTTTTTATATTTCAAAATTTTTTATTAATAACTATCTGAAACTCACACAATTGTCTTTTATTAATTATATACCACTCTTTAAACCTTCCACCCTCTCATCCATACTCTTTCACTTTTTAACCCTCTTTTCACTGAGCTTTTATCAGTTCTCATCTTACAACCTAAGACTCCTTCATCTCACATCCCAACATTTCCTTTTATCTTAACAACATCTTCTTTTTTATTTGTCTTTGAACAGAAAAATAAATAAATTATAACTGATTATAATTGTTTATTATTACATAATTATAAATGCTTATCATAAAATTAAATTTTTTTAATAGAACACAGATTTTGATAGTCTTGGCTCATTTTTACAAGGAACTATGGGAAGATTGGCCTCACTCACTAAAAAAGGGCACCATAAACTTTTATGTTACGTTTTATTATTTTGTTTTTGTGTTATGTTATTTGCTTGGTTTGTTGTCAGGTTTAGGTAAAATTATTTCTGTAATAATTATTTTTTCAAAAAAAAAAAAGTTAAACTTTTAAAAGTTTTAAAATCTTTTTTCAGTGTTTAGATGAACATAATTTATTATTGTGAACAGTGTTTAGAATGATAAATTGTAAAGTAACACAAACACAGATATATATATATATATATATATATATATATATATATATATATATATATATATATATATATATATATATATATATATATACATACATATATATATATATATATATATATATATATATATATATATATATATATATATATATATATATATATATATATATATATATATATATACACATGCATATATTTATATACGCACTCACACATGCTTATACATATTTAACATTTATACAAAAATCTTTGCATACTTAACCTGATCATCTGAGGAGTTCGATAAATATATCAACTAAATGTTTAACTTTAGACAGGTAAATTTTTAATATGAAAAAGGGCATTTATTACCAAAGAAAATTTATTTTAATTTTAATTTTAATTTTTTATCTTTGTTTTTTACAAAAACTGTCTAGATTTAAAGCATTTTAAAGCTGAAGGTGTGCAAATTATACTAGGACATTACACATCTTAGCATGCTAAAGTTAGTGTGTGTGTGTGTGTGTGCGTGTGTGCGTGTGTGTGTGTGTGTATTTATATATATATATATATATATATATATATATATATATATATATATATATATATATATATATATATATATATATATATATATATATATATATATATATATATATATATATATAAATAAATTTTTAAGCTAATATAAACAATTATTATTAAATTTATTTAAAAAGTTTTATTTTTAAGTTATTGAAAAAAAATATATATTTTAGTTTATTTTTCTTGTTTATAATATGAGTATTCATAAATATGGCTAGAGATATTAATTTTTTTTGTAGATTTTAATATTGTTTGTCATTTTCTTGTAATTTATTTTAAAGAACTTTTTGTGTAAAAAATAATAATAAAAAAAAGTAGTAACCAAGTTTTCAATGTTTGTTTTATACATCTTAAAATACATAAATCTTATATTACACAGGTTTGTCAGAGTTTTGTATTAGGTACTTAGTAGCTGAGTATTAGGTTCAGATTAGCCAATTAGAAGGTACTAATTAGTTGAGTATTATGTACTGAGTAGCTGAGTAAGCTTTTACTAATATTTTTAAAGCACAGTAAGTTAATTCTTATATTTACTAATGTACAGAGATTTTGAGAAAGTTATAATAGATTAATAAAAGCATGATAAGATGTTTTATGAAAGCATAATAGCTGTATGTTTTGCAGATGTTTAATGTTGTATACTAGTGTGTAATGTTATAGTATACTGTGCTGTTTAAGTTAAGAATTAAAGTTTTTATTTAGAGTTTTTAATCATTTAAAAAGTTTTTGAAATTTACAATGTTAAAGTAAATTATTGCTAACTGTAGTTTAATATAAGTCACAAATTAAAAATATTTTTGTAAATATGTTTATCTTGATTGTTAAATATTTTTTTCTTCAGTATTGAAAATATTTGTCTTGAAACAAATATATTTAATAATAAATTTTTTTTGTCTAGTTTAACTTTGAAACATATTTCAAACTTTTACAAACCATGTTTTTTTTTTCTGTATAACAATTCTGTAGATGCATGTTAATAGATTTAAAATATGACATCACACATTGTTTTTTTAATTGATGAAGATCCACTTTGCTCCAGCAATAATATTGTTTCACAAATACATCTAGCTTGTTTACGTATTTTATCTTACTATGCAAGTCGTATGACAAAAACATCTATCTTTTGGGGATACAAATTTTATAACTCTTTTAAAAGTCATTCAAATGAATACAAGCAAAGAATGTTCTTAGAGTATGCATTAGAAAAGTTTAATAAATTTGAACAAAAGTTATACAAAAAAGTTCACAAAGCTTCATGTATACAAAATGTAAAGCCAGGTGTTTTGTTGAAAGTAGCTTTGTCAGAGATACTCACAGAGTTTCAATGGGATCAACCACAGTTACTATCACCTTGTAAATTGTATTCTAGTTCCAGCAACCATTCAAATAATTTGGTATTTCTCATCACTAAGTATCCATTTGATAACTATTTCAATGAAGAAGTTTTTGACAAAAAGAGTTTTTTTAATGCTCTATTTCCACCAATGTTGTTTGAAAAATTTGTTCAACAGAGTAAAATTAAACTGTGTTGGATTTATACTGACTCTGCTGAAAAGGTTATTTTACATTGTTTTATATATACTTAAAATTTTGTTATATATATATATATATATACATATATATATATATATATATATATATATATATATATATATATATATATATATATATATATATATATATATATATATATATATATATATATATATATATATATATATATACATATATATATATATATATATATATATATATATATATATATATATATATATATATATATATATATATATATATATATATATATATATATATATATATATATATATATATATATATATATATATAGCTTTTGAAGCTGAGAATTCTAAAATCCTATTATTAAAAATTTATTTACAACAGATTTTATTGCAACAGTTTTTTACAAAATAGAATACACTTTTTTTTTACATAAATTTTGATTTTGTTTTTGTTTACATTTTAGTCTTGTTGTTATAAGGACTTTGTAGATGGTGGAATAAAAATGGCTAAAGGCAGTTTAATTCCACTTCATACAATTACTATGTTCTACAACAATCAACAGTGCATGGATATTATTAGTAGAGATTCTATTTTGCAAGCATTGCTAAATCCAACTAAATCACGACATCAAATACTAAAGCAACAACATTCTTGTAATATTCTTCTTTCTGCAGGTTTGTTTTTATTTTATCAGAAACTTCATAAATAAAAACAGTTAATAGTTTATCAATAGTTCCTCTGCTACAAGTTTTTTATGTAATTAAATTTTTAATGTAATTAAATTTTTTGATTATCCATTGTAAATTTTTTGTTAAAACTGCTAACTTAAGATGATCATTCCCTTAGTCACTTTGAGTGAATAATTATGCTGGTCAATAAAATATAACTTTACTAAACCAACTTACGGCATACATACGCTGCTCATTGCTTCAGTTTTTGATAATTTGGTGACATGCATTTACATTTCTTGGGAGCTAATTTTAAATAATGAGGAAAGAGGTTTAAGAAACCTTGATGCTTCAGTGTTAAAAAGTAATAATAAAATATTAAGATTTATACACACTAGATTCTCAAGAAAAAACCCCTAAATTGTCAATTTAACAGACACCATTAACCAAATATGGATATCATTTGATCAAATTATTTGTTACTAGAAGTAATAGTCAAAACCATTTTGCAAATTTTGTAATGAAAGAGGACATTCTAATAGATATTGTCGTAAACAAAATGTCTCTAATAACATTTATCTGAAAAAGATATTTTGAAATGTTAACATATGAATAAGTTTCGTATTTTAGAACTTCTTCAATACTTTCAAATGTCATTGATGTATCTATGTTGTTATTTTTTGATGTATCTATGTTGTTATTTTTTGATGTATCTATGTTGTTATTTTTTGATGTATCTATGTTGTTATTTTTTGATGTATCTATGTTGTTATTTTTTGATGTATCTATGTTGTTATTTTTTGATGTATCTATGTTGTTATTTTTTGATGTATCTATGTTGTTATTTTTTGATGTATCTATGTTGTTATTTTTAAATGTATCTATGTTGTTATTTTTTGATGTATCTATGTTGTTATTTTTTGATGTATCTATGTTGTTATTTTTTAATGTATCTATGTTGTTATTTTTTGATGTATCTATGTTGTTATTTTTTGATGTATCTATGTTGTTATTTTTTTAATGTATCTATGTTGTTATTTTTTTATTTTTTCAAAAATTTACACATTAAAACCTTTCCAAAAAGTCCTTAAACAACCCCATAGCACATTCTGTTCAAAAGTTATAAACCTATGTTTGGCTGTGGTGTGGCATCAGAAATGTTATCTAACCACACATTCATAGTTATATATAGTGAGAGGAGAGAATAAACATGTATAAATATGTATAGAGGAAGTAAATATACATATATACTCTCTCTATATATAAATCATCTTTAAAGAATAATCAGATATGAATGATCAAATTAATTAAACTTCAATTTATACCAAAGGTTTAATTACAGAAAGTCACAAATTAACTACTGTAAATTTTCACATATTTTAGGAATATGTTGATACTATTATAAAAAAATTCTTAAGAAATATATGAACCTGTTGTTTTTTTTTTTTAACATATTTTTAAATGGAGATTAGTTATGATTATTTTTTGAAGCTCACTTATTTTTATAGTCTTTTTGGAGAAACTTATTTTTATGCCTGGATTTAGAAATCAATTTTTTTTAATAAACATTCTTGGTTGGCATGTGTAATTATTTCAGACTTAACATATTGACATATCATGCATTATTTGGAAATATTATTATATGCAGGTGCTTATATAGATTTTCAGAGAGGTTGTGATGAGAAAGTTTTTTCAATTTTTCAATTTCAAATTTTATTTCAATTAAAATAAACATAAACTTGAAAATCGTTTTTTTAATCTAATATTTAACCTGTCTGAAAATTCATATAGCCTTTCATATAAACTTTCCATTTCAAATGATGAATTATTGTATACTAATATTAACTTAAGTTATCCACCCCAAATTCTAAAACAAATACCTATTTCAATTAATAACAGGCTAAACTAAAACTCCCCTGATGAAAATGTATTTTAATCCTCTAAATGTATTTTTGAAGATGCCCTTAAAAAATGTGCGTTTGAAAATTTTGAACTAAAATTTGACCCTGAAAAAAAAAAAGTCACAATGTGTAACAAAAAAATCCTAAATTAAAAAATTACAGAAAATTGTAATTGTAGTGAATTTTTTTTTTAAATAGTGTCAACATATTCCAAAAATGTGTATTTCTATAAAACATAAATTCCTGAAGTTTTATTAATTTGATCAGTCATTTCAGATAAGTCCTAATAGATAAATAATACTGTGTAAAATAAAAAAAAACTGATTAGTGGTTTTCTAATTTATTATTGCTCTGTTCTTTTAAGAACATGGAGTACTCTATTTTGTATAATTCATTTAATATATATATATTATTATGATATATAATTTATATATATATATATATATATATATATATATATATATATATATATATATATATATATATATATATATATATATTAGTGATCAACCGAAACCTGTTTTGGTATCAGTTTTGGCCGAAATTTCAATTTGAACTAATACTGAAATCTCGGTTTTGGTACTTTTTATAAATTCAGTAAAAACCGAAATTTTAGTTGATATATATATATATATATATATATATATATATATATATATATATATATATATATATATATATATATATATATATATATATATATATATATATATATATATATATATATATATATAATATATATATATATATAATATATATATATAATAAATATATATATTCATTTATATAGAATCTTTAGAGGAATCTGTTATTACCCTGTGCCATTTCACCAAGAGATTTAGTGAAGATGTTTATTTTTTCAATACAATGTATGTTGATAAAATTGTTCCTAAGCGCAGAATCTCACTCAAAATATTACAAAATGTTTATATGTATTGTTGCAGACCAAACCAAGGTAGTGTTTTTTTTTGTTTTAAGTTAAAATACAGGTAATTATTGTTTTATTATCTTATATGCTTTTTTTTATTAGCTTTTTGTATATTTAGTTACATGTCTTTCTAACTTATTTGTTAAAAAAGGCCCCAATTCATTTGCTTTAATTAAGACATTTTTTACTGTGTCCACTTTCCTCTTTACAATTCAGCTATAGTCAAAGAGGCTATTTTTTTTTTTACTGTGTTTACCTCCCCCTTCACGATTCGGCTACAGTCAAAGAGGCTACTCTTTTTAATTTTTATTACAATCTAGAGGATTTTAACTTTTAATTTGCAAAACACAAGTTTTGATGAGCATGTTGCTGCACAGAGAAACAAGTTATGTATATGTTGTTGGAGTGAGATCTTTCAAGATCTGATCAGCTGTTTAAGTTATTGAAAAGTGATGATTTTTTGTCAAGACTATATAGTTGTTCCATCAGTAGAAAGATAAGGTAAGATGATCGAGAAGATCATTACAATAGATAAAGAGCAACACATGATTTAGGATGTAATCTTGTGGTACCCTAAATGATAGTGAAAGTACTGAACAACACATGACCAAGTATTGAAGAACAACACAAAGGAAATAAAGAATAGCACATGACTAGAAATGAAGTGCGACACATGACCAAGAATGGAAACTGTGCTGCAGAAAGGAAATTTAGATTATTTACACAAGGTGCTTGTTAATTAGTTAAGAAAGTAACAAAGCTCTGGAGAACATATTTGTAAGATTCTGGCAGAAATAATATCCTGACCACAAGACTGTGACAAGAATCCTAACCACAAGTTGAGTTTAAAGGAGAAATTACTTTAGCAACAAAAGCTGGATCAATTCGGATGTCTTATAATCTTGTTTTTTGAGAGGAAATATGTGATTATTAAAGATAAATTAGAAAAAGGAAATAGTTTGGCCTTATCTTTGAGACGATTAATCAAATCAAACCTAAGTATGGAATTTTAAACGCCTTTCTTAATGACATTCTTAAAGTCTTTACAACTTGATTTCTAAGAATAAAAAAAAAGTTTCTAAGATTA